TGATGCTAGCTGCTGCTGCATCTACCTGTCCGGTTTTGTTTTGCTTCAGCTACGTTATTAAGAGCATGGCTAATAAGCCAGCCGACTGCCGGCTGAGTGCTTATGCCACGTCACATGCAGTAAGTAATATCTATGCAGTAAGTAATATCCAACAAGCTGGCTAAGAGGTTGGCTGTATCAAGCAGTATTTAATGCTTATCCAGAGAGAGAGAGGAAGGTGGCAGGGAGCAAGCGCCAAGGCTTATTGCCTGCCATTGGCTGGGAACGGGCGGTGTGAGCCATTCAGCCGGGCGGAGAGTTTAGCGCCGGCTCATCTTCTCTCTTCATTTCTCTCTCTGCCACATCACGCTTCTTTCCTACGTGACCCGGGATTCAGCTGGCTGAATCGGTCTTATAATACTTGCTCTAATAGGTTTGGTGTTGGGTGGCGATCAAGCACTCCACTCGTTCCTAGTTCTACTAGCGACTTAAGATACCTCCGACAGTGGGGCAATTGCAACTGGTGCTAATAACGGAGCCTACTGACAGCGACTGATGCTACAACTAGTTTTGATGCTCAAGCACTCCACTCGGACAGTCACGCGTTCCTAAGGAGTTAAGATAACCTCCGAGAGGTGCCCGGCCTGGTGCTAATCACTCACCCTACTGATAGCTACTGATGCTAGAACGAAGACCACATTAGCTTTGATGCTTTAATTTCTGTCCTCCGATGGATCGCGTATGTTGACAGTACCTGGCGCCGCCGTAGGGCCGCTTCTTCCCTCTCCTTTCATCATATTGTGGCACGTCTATGGCAAATGGGCCCAAACCATTATTTTCGTCTATTCCATCCATCCTAAAATAAATGACGTTTTTCACTTTTAGACATCTTGTTTGATCGCTCGTCTTATTCAAAATTTTTATGTAAATTATATAATAAATAAATTATTATTAAAGTATCTCTACCGATAGAATAAGTCATGACAATCAAACAAGATGTCTGAGAGTAATTTTAAAACGGAGGGAATACTAGTTAGTGTAATATATTTTTGTCTTCATCATGAAACGATTCTTTCCAGATGGAACATCTGAAGAAAGTTGTATAGTTGGGAACCAAAAATGTTGCACTCAGGAAAAACAGTTCCACTAGATAGAACAATAAAATGTTTCGTTGACGAGGGCAACCTATCTTTCCTAGAAAGCCAATAAAAACCCCCTAGGTACACAACCAAACATTTGTTCTAAATCCAAATATTTTAAGTTTGACCATATTTATTGAAAAGAGTTATCAACATTTATAATATCATATTGGTATACTATAAAAGTGTACTCCATAATAATGATCTAACAATACTTATTTGATATTATAATTATTAAACTTTTTTATTGAGATGGTTTGAATTAGATTGCATCGTTTTTTTGAACAAAGATCGGAGGGAGTAGAAACTAAACCAGTGGCTATAGACATAACACATCTACCAACAAAATCCATTAACATTAGATCTTCCAAGTTACCCTTGTTGGGGCCCTTTGAAATCTTACAGCCATGTTTTGACTAGATCATTTTGTTCCTCAAACCCTCCGACCATCAGCATCCTTGAGTAGCACACACCAATACACCATCTCTGCACAAAGTACATTGATTTGTACTCCCTCGTCTACAAATATAAGGACTTCTACCATTTCAAATCTGCCCACGAATATAAGGAGTTATGAGTACTCACTAGATCTATTTAATTGCATAATCCAGGAGCAGAACACCCTTTGATTGTGCCAATCAGGGGGTAGTTGCTCTTTAATTGCAACAATCAGAAGCTGGTCCTTTAGCTTTAACGAGGGACAATAGCCTACTCCATCTGTCATGGAATATAAGGGTTTAGAGTTCAAAATTTACTCCATCCGTTCCAAATTATAAGTTGCATTTATTTTTTTGTACATCCATTTTGTTATACATCTATATATAATTTATGTCTAGATATATAGCAAAATGAATGTACTGAAAAAATCAACGTGACTTATAATTTGGAACGGAGGGGTACCGAATTAAGGAATCCTAGGTGAACAACACTACAAAAGACAACATTCACATGCATGCCTACTATTAATGTCTATCATCAACCCAAATATGATAATTAGGGATGGTTATATGTGTCATTTGTCTTACCACATAATGTCCCTAAAATATGATATAATTAGGGATGGTTATTGTCCTATGAATGTCATTTGTCTTACTAAGTATTGCTAGTCGTTTAGGAAAGCAATGTTTTGCTTGAGTACAAAAAAGAAAGGATTCCTAAAAAATTTCTTGGATATCACAAAAAGGAAGAATTTGCTCCCAAAAATGTTTTACTTACACAAAAGAAAAAAGTCTGAACGATGAGTGGAGATACTTTTCGAGTTCATTTGACTCGGCTGGAAATTGTCCTATAGAATCAAGAAGTCCTTTCATTTGTGGACGAAGGGAGTACAACACTTAGACTAAGTATTGCTAGTCGTTTAGGAAAGCAATGTTTTGCTTGAGTACAAAAAGAAAGGACAAAATGTTGCTAGTACAAAAAGAACAAATTTCACAAAAAGGAAGAATTTCAAGTCATAGTGTGCAGCTCCCAAAAAGAATAAAATGTTTTACTTATGGAGAAAATTTGTTTCACAAAACCCTTGAAAATTTGTTTCACAAAACCCTTCTGGAAAAAAGTCTGAATCCCACAATGAGTGCGCTATAAGATACTAACTTCGAGTTGCATATGCAACATCTCGTCTGGACGGACATCAGTCCAACGGTTGAGAAAACACAAACACTCGTTGTCCACGGGGCACACATTAAACCTGTCACCGGCAGACGCTGTGAGGATCTAGTATAGTGATTGCAAGTCCTCACTTCATGTTTTCCTTCTCTTTCCCTAAAGCTATCACAATTAATGGTGGCATGGTGCGATCTAATCGTTTGATGAAACTGCACCAAGAGATTTAACGATGTTTCTAGCAAATGGTTTTGCATATTTTCGTCAAAAAACTGGTTTTGGATACAGGTCAAACGACTCAAAACCACATGACATGCCCTATTAACTCTGAAGCAAACTAAACCGAAAAGAACACTCGTATGGGAAAATGGTTGCAAGCATCACCAAGAGCTCCGATAGATCGATACAGTCATACAGAGCAGCTAGTGCCATGTGAATACGTACTTTAGAGGCAGGGCCAGCATACAGCAGCCAGCACAGTTGTACTTGTACCGGATTCAGGGCAGGGGCAACACAGTGAACAGCCTTTCATACGTTCTTTCAGAAGCTCCATGTGCCTTTCTGACTTGACGGGCAATTCCCGTCCCGTCCTTCCAATCGGCTGTCTAGTTTGAAGGTTTCAGGCTTTCAGCAGCACACCCTGAATGCGGTGGCGTAAGACATCGATTCAGGCAATCAGGCGTTCAGCGGCCACATGCTGAGCGAGAGCGCAAGAGAGTGGTTTCAATGCGCAGAGCTTGAACTGACTGAGCCTTGCATAGCATTACCGTGGCTGCTAATCTTAAGCTAGCGAGCAAGATTGTCCGAGTGCCCTGGTGAGGTTGGTTCCTTCTGTACTGGCGACTAGCCAATTTACCAGCTGTCCTGTCCAGCACTCCTGCTCCAGCCAGCCGAAATTGTCCAAAATGTCGTCCTTGCAGTAACCACTCCAAGATTAGGAGTATGTACGTTCATCATTTTACCACCCCGCAGGCAGTCGGTACTCGGTCGTAATCGTAAAAAATTGTTCGAGTGCTACTGCCTACGACCATCAATATCACATTATGATAGCCATAGGTGCAGAGTTTTGCAAGTACGGGACATACATACGTACTCAGTGATGTCACGTGCGCTGGTTCCAGACGCAGGTCTGTCGCTGGAGCCGCTGATTGGGGCGGTAGCGGCCGGGAACGCCGTGGCCCTGAAGCCGTCGGAGCTCTCGCCGCGCACCTCCAGGTTCCTGGCCGACAACATCGGGAGGTACATGGACCCCTCGGCGGTGAAGGTCGTCCAGGGCAGCCCGGAGGTCGGCGAGCAGCTCATGGAGCACCGCTGGGACAAGGTCCTCTTCACCGGTAAGCTACCAAATTTTTTTGCCCGATGTCCTGATGGTGGCAGCCAAAGCGTTTGCGGAAGCACAAGTTCGATCAGGGCGGTCACTTCAGCACTTCTGTCCATTGCCCCACGTACGCCGTGATGGCCGCGGCGTTCAGGCACCTGACGCCCGTCGCGCTGGAGCTGGGCGGCAAGTGCCCGTGCATCTTCGACGCCATGGGCAGCGCCCGGGACCTGCAGATCTCGGTGAACCGCATCATCGCGGGCGCAAGTGGTCGTCCTGTGCCGCACAGGCCTGCATCGCCATCGACTACGTGCTCGTCGAGGAGAGCTTCGCGCCCATCCTGGTGCACAGCTGCCTACTGTTTGATTAAACCCCCAGCTTGTCACTGATCCTGCTTAAATAAAATAGACCATGCGAGAATGTTTGCAACTGACGTGGGTTTCTCGTTGTGCATGCGTTGCGTTTTGGCTCGCTCTGAAGATCAAGGTGCTCAAGTCGACGCTGAAGAGGTTCTTCCAGGAAACGGATCGCATATTCGCATGGCACGGATCGTGAACGAGCGCCACTTCGAGAGGCTGAGTAACCTTCTGAAAGACAGGTCCGTGGCACCGTCCGTCCTGCACGGCGGTTCCATGGACGCCAAGAACTTGTGAGTTTCTGAACATTCAGTGATTTGCCAACGGGCTTCCTGTGTGTAGATCGACAGGGTCACTGTTCTCTGACGAAACTGTCCCAGGTACATTGAGCCTACGATACTGCTGAACCCACCGCTGGACTCCGCGATCATGACCGAGGAGATATTCGCCCCCTGCTACCGATCATCACGGTAAATTCGTGAAGCCTGTGGCAGGTGGCGCCTTTTGCTCCCGTGTCTGGCCGGCGAACTGAAGTCTGAAACTTTCTTTTTGATTGAGTACACACCGGTCAAGAAGATCGAGGACAGCATCGCCTTCGTGAAGGCCATGCCGAAGCCGCTCGCCATCTACGCGTTCACCCAGGACGCCGCGCTGCGGCGACGGATCGTGGACGAGACGTTGTCCGGGAGCGTCACCTTTAACGACGCGGTAGTGCAGGTACTCCCTCCTACTAGGCGTCGCGTAGGCAGAAATTCATCATCTCATAGATATTCTTCTGGTGGTTGACTTGTGTTGTTCGCAGTACGCGATCGACGGGCTCCCGTTCGGCGGCGTCGGGCAGAGCGGGTTCGGGCAGTACCATGAGAAGTACTCGTTCGAGATGTTCAGCCACAAGAAGGCGGTCATGAAGCGGGGCTACCTCGTGGAGCTGACACTGAGGTACCCGCCGTGGGACGAGAGCAAGGTCACCCTGATGCGCTACCTCTACCGCTTCAACTACTTCGCCTTCGTCCTCTCCTTCCTCGGGCTCAGGAGATGAACTCTACTCCAGCATCAACGCAAGGATTGCACAGGGATTGGACCCAATAAACTGACAGTGGATGCAGGAAGAAGCCAATATAGCAATATGCAGTAGCTGTGTTGCTTGTGAGGAGCAAGCATCATGCATGCCGCACTTCAAAACCAGTAAAATGTGCTAACCTGCACCCTATCTATTCTTGCCTCTAGTGAGAGTGTGAGACAAACAGTAAAATGCCTTTCAATCTTTAGCGGTACACTGGTCAGAGACGATCTATCCTCTGCATAAAAGTATGAAGTGCAAAGGAGGAAATGATTTGGACTAAGGCCTTGTTTAGATGCCAAAAATTTTGGTAAAATGGCACTGTAGCAGTTTTCGTTGTTATTTGGCAATTAGTGTCCAATCATAGTCTAATTAGGCTTAAAAGATTCGTCTCGTGGATTTCGTCTAAACTGTGTAATTAGTTTTATTTTTTATTTATATTTAATGCTTCATACATGCATCCAAAGATTCGATGTGACAGGGAATTTTGAAAAATTTTGCAAAATTTTTTGCAACTAAACTGGACCTAAGATGTCTCATTTGTTTGTTCCTTGGTAATAATAGTATTTCCTCTGGAAAATATAAGTTCATTAGGATGTACAGTTGTACTAACAACACGGACACACCATTCGAGAATGTAAGTTGTTTTAAGGTGTGTTTGACGAGATCCCATTACACTCACCATTTGAGAAAGTAAGGCCGTCCCCAACGGACCAGCTCAGTCAGATTCTATCTGACGTTGAGGACAGATGTTAGGGATCAGCTATGGCTGGGCCGTCGCATGGGCCTGGACCTTGAGCCTAGTTCAGATTTTGCTGGAAGAGTACAAAGGGAAGAAGGCAAGGGGAGGTTCAGCCATCGATTATTCAGAACACATAACAGGTTTTGTCGGGTTCATCAACCCGGGGTCCCTCGAGGACCGGCTTCGACGCCCGGGCTCGGGCCCAGAGAATAGCCTGCAGCTCATGGGCCGGCCCAAAAAGTCTAAAAAACAACGAGCCGGGGATAGACCGGTCGCCGACCAGAAGGTCCACCGAAAGAACGAACGCCCGCTCGACAACTTTTTCGGCCCACCTCTCCGATCGGAGCGCTCGCCTCGGGCGCCGGGCACCTCCGGGCGGACTCCCGATCGGAAGGCCTGACCCAAAACGCTGCTTCCTACTCCGACCCCGCGTCTCCAACCGGAGGCTCGTAGAAGCCTACTTACCGCTCTTCTCCGACTAGCACGGCCAGTACCGACTGGAGCCATCCGACCCGGGATTCCCACTCGGAAGGGACCAGGGGCGAACGGAGAAAGCAGCGACAAAGTCAAAACACGGTACCAGGACCATACCCTGTACGCCTGCGGGAACAGTGCTCCACAACCGACCTGACACAAACAGTATGGGAGGTACCGACATTGGTGTCTACAGTATTGTGTAGCGCCGACATTTATGTCTATAGTATTGTAGGCGCCGTTGGAGCTCCCATACGGCAAAAAGGCCCCCACATGCCTCTAGGCATCAATAGTGGGCACCAGGATTCACCATACCTGGTACACGTGGTGGGACTCCTCATATACTAACCACATTTCACTGGTACCGACGTCCACCCTTTCTGAAGAAGCCAACGCAACCCCCATGTGCACTTGACATTCTACAGCGACATCAACAGTGTTATGCGTGCCAACCATCATCACTATCCTCATTCGGCGTGGGCAACAAGACTTAGAAACATCCGTACTCTCTCCATCTCACCTTAAAGCCATCCCCTTTATCTATAAAAGGGGATGCTCCCTCCAACAAAGGAGATCGATTTTCCAGAGGTCCACTTCTTCAAGCTTAGGCTCACTAGATCGATAGCTCAGAAACCCCTCAAGCACACGCTTGAACACCTAGCTTATAGCGGAGTTCCGGTCGCCCTCGGCCCTTCCGGTCGGACCGACCGGGCCTCTCGTACACCCCTCCTTTCTCCTTCTCGTTTGTAACCCCACTACAGACTTTGAGCACCTAGGCTCAGGAATAAAGTCACCACCAGACCCACATTGGACGTAGGGCACGTTGCCCGAACCAGTCTAAATCCTATGTCATTGAGTGCTAGGCCACCTCCGATCACAATGTACAGCAAAACTACAAATATTCACTAGTTGGTCACTTTCTGTACCGATAGTTGGCGCCGTTCGTGGGGAAAGACGCTGTACGTTCAACACTTTTTGGTCATCGGATGGCCCATTTTTCCGCCACCCCCACCACGGGGGGCTCGGGCGACGTGATTCACCTCGGCTCACTGGAGTATCCCGTACTCTCGCCTGCGGGCATGCGGGTTCCACTCGTACTCGAGCCATCCCAGGCCTTCCTCTTTGCAAGCCTGGACTTCATCGCCAACCGGCTTGGCATACTCCACCTCCGCGAGGAGACTCGTGACCCAGCACCCGTCGGAGAGACGTTCTCCATCGACTCCGGGACGTGCGACCTCAACGGCGCGACATCTGCGCTTCATTCCGAGCAAACTCCCTGCTCAAACCCCACTATAAGTAATATGCGTACCTTTATTCACCCTTTATTTACTACCTCCCACCAATCATCTGGAGGGACCGCACCACCCACGCCACGGACACCGTACGTTCGGTTCCCCTATGGCCTCGCATCCTCCGTGGACGCCGACGCTCGGGGGCTCCGAAGGACGCTAGCGCCATCCCCCCTCACGTTCGAATTTGTAGGAATGGCAGGCTCCGCTCCTGCCGCCTCCCACGAACTCCCAGATAACGAGGGCGAGAGCGATGGTTCCAGCATCGGTGATGTGGCGTCCCGCCACCACCCATCCCAGGAATGCGCCATGGCGGATCGTCCAGCACAACCGCCGGTGGTCGCCGAGTCTGCGCAAACTCACACCCCTCTAGACACGCGTGTGTGGAGGCCCTCGCGTTTGTGCAAGCGACGCCGAGGAACTACGACAACGACGCAGAACCCGCCACCTGCGCTGGCACGATCATCGTGGCATGTTGTGCCCCATGCGCGGATGGCCCGGCGGGCGGCGCCTCAGGGACGCGCTCAATAGGTCCAGCACGACATTTTGAACAAGGGAAACAACGTCTCGCAATTCGCCTGAGCCGGCCAGAACATCGCTGCCGCGGCAATGCTCCTGCGTGGTGTCCCCGAGCCCATCGACCCCTAGGAACGAGCCGTCTACCGGAACCTCCGGGTTCTAGTAGAGGCCGCCGCTGTCCAGCAGGCGGAAAACTCCGCGTCGTGACTCCGACCCGCGCCCTCTCTCCCCACCGGGGGGACGGGGACACGCCAACCGGATCGCTCCGTGCGCTCGCTGCCACAGCCATCAGGCTCAGCTCGGGGTGCGGCAGCCACGCCGTGGTTTGACCGGGCGCCTGCTCCACACCGACCGTCAGCACGCGAGCGGCCCGACCCGCACCAGGACGCTCATAGCGTCATCAACGACTGGCATCGGGCCCGATGCGGCAACAACGACCGCCACACGGCGGTGGGCGACACAGATCCCGACCAAACCATTGAGGGAAGCGGTGAAACACGCCCTAGGCATGGTCGCCGGCCGGACGACCGGAGCCCCAGCCCTGAGGGTCCGGGGCCACGGGCCTTCAGCCGGCGCAGCCGGAGGGCACCGTTCCCACAGCGTTTTCGACCTCCCTCCAACATCACCAAATACACCGGGGAGACAAACCCATGCATTTGGCTCAAAGACTTTCGGCTCGCCTGTCGAGCTGGAGGAGTGGACGATGACTATTTCATCATCCAATACCTTCCCATTTGCATGGGGGAACATGTTCGGGCATGGCTTGAATTCCTTCCACACGACAGCATCCGCGACTGGGCGGACCTCAAGAGGGTCTTCGTCGGGAATTTCTAGGGGACGTACGTCCACCCGGGGAACTCCTGGGACCTCAAGAGCTATCAGCAGGAGCCCAGCGAGTCCCTGCGGGATTACATCCGCAGGTTCTCTCAATGATGCAACTCCCTCCCTGATGTCGTTGACGTGGACGTCATCAACGCATTCCTTTCCGGGACTAACTGCGAGTCCCTGATCCACAAGCTTGGCTGCCGAAAACCCCGCACCACCCGTGATTTGCTCGACGTTGCCACCAACCACGCCTCGGCGAGGAGGCAGTCGGAGCGGTTTTCAATGGAGGCCGGGACCAAGGCAAGCCCAAGCGCGCGGATCCAGACGAAGGCCCCTCCACTCAGAGGGGCAAGAAGAACAAGAAGGATCGGCGCCGGTCAGACAACGCCGCGCTGGTCGCCGTGGCTGATCGCACGCCTAGGCAGCCCCAACAGGGACTGCCTGACCACTTCAACAAACTCATGGATGGTCCGTGCCCTAACCACGCCTACCCTGTCAAACATCTCTATAAGGAGTGCGAACTCCTCAAACGCTTCCTCCGACAGGCCAGCGGGTCAAAGGAGGGAGACGGCAAGGACCTGGCAGCCAAGAGAGGAGGCACAGGCAAGGATGGAGACGGTTTCCCTGAGCCCAAGGAGTGCATCATGATCTTCAGAGGGTTCGACGCCATTTGGACTAAACGCCAGCATAAGGTATGCTATAGGGAGGCGTGCGCCGCCAAGACGGCCGTCCCCTCCTTCCTCAGCTGGTCAGCATCCCCAATCACCTTTGATCAGAGGGACCATCCCTCCTACATCGCGAGACCAGGACTCTACTGCTCGTCATCGACCCCATCGTCCTCAAGAAGTGCCTCACCAAGGTGCTGATGGACGGAGGGAGCGGCCTCAACATCCTGTACATCGACACCCTCGATGCCATGCGCATCCCCCGGTCAGAGCTCCGCCCGGCGGGCTCCCCCTTCCACGGGGTGATCCCGGGAGCACAGGCATACCCGCTCGGACAGATCGATCTGCCCGTCACATTCGGCAACCGGGATAACTTCCGCTCGGAGGTCCTCACCTTTGAGGTGGTGGACTTTCCAGGGTCCTACCACGCTATCTTGGGACGGCCATGCTACGTAAGGTTCATGG